GTCAGACCAGTTGCCATATTTGGGGTCAGGAAGAAATGCCGTGTTCAGATTAGTATGAACTGTGGGGTTTTTGCTTTCCTCTGTAGCAGAGATCATGGTCCTCTACCTGTGATCTCTTAAGTATATATTAACAACCTTTTATAGAAGCAGGATGTTGACTGCCATGGTTCTGCTTTACCTGTGGTAGGTTAGGGTGTAATGTCTTGTGTTAGTCAGGGTTGGTGGTAGTTTTATGAATAGTTAGATTATGGATTTGTATAGGATGGCTTTGATAGGGATGATCCTGCCACAGGCAGGGTGTTGGACTAGATGACACTTGGAGGTCTCTTCCACCCCAGCTTCTCTCTGATTCTGTGATCTGGGCCTTAGGTGTTTTGTAAAATGCAGGTAACAGCACTTCCTTACTTCACAGGACTGGGAGAACAAATGATTTAGAGATTCTGAGCTGCTCAGGTACCGTGATAATAGGGGTCATATAAGTACCAAAGACAAATATACCATTACAAACAGGGCATGTGTAACGCTGTTGGGCACAGAATTAAAATATTCTGCCTGTTGGAAAAGCTACTGCTTTTTAAAAATTGTTCTGAAAGTCTTATATTTGTTTTCTTGTGAGGTCCATCCTATTAATCTGAGTTACTAAAAACATTCTGGTTATACAGGCAGGGGAATAAATAAAATAGTGGGAAAATATTTCTAAGAGAACTTCTCTGCAAAATATTGTTTGTGGCATGAGCAGAACACGTGATAGTATGGAGTGAAGGCTACTGGTCTTAACACTTCTCTGTCCAGCTTATGTCCTATTTTGCAACTTCTGAGTCATGTGCTTGTCCCAAACTGTTGCTGATAAGAGCTTCCACCATGCTAAGCCACCATGTCATCCTATAGAAACCTGTATTTTGAATTCTTTCTTAAGTGACAACTCAAGAGAATGACAGAAATCAGTGACTTAATATAAGCTGTCTTCTAACTCAACTGGGGCAAAAGTGCATGCAGCTGTGGGGTATGGAGAGACTTTGCAGAAGTTGCATGAACCAAGAGGCTGGCAGGGTGACTATCTACTTGTACAAATCTTTTCTAAGTTGATATTCTTCGGCAACTTTAAGGCTTACTCTGGTGTTGGTTCAGAAGTAGCTCTTGCCAATTTTTGGCAATGAGTCAGTTCCATTTCTGTGCCATGAGGAGGAGGGGTAAAGTTTAGATAAAAGAAGGAAATATTTTTGTGGCATGTTTTAAAAAAAAAAATCATCTACTGTAAGCAGCTCAGGAGTTTGGAATGTTAATAGTCCCAGAGGAGGTGGGTTTACTAGGCAGAGAACAGGTGAGCCTAGTACTTTATCACATGGCAGAGAAATTAATCACCCAGTGCTGCAATTTATTATGGGGTTCCACTATCTCTGTCCTATCACCATCATTTAAACTTATACATATATACTTATATATATGTGTATTTACATACTGTGCATGAAAGTAGATGTAGGTATTCCTAGAAAAAAAGATTAAAATGAAAATGTTTTATTTTTCCCTTTCATCCCATTGCAATGGGTTAGCAGCCTATAGCTTTTGCTTCTTAAAGGCTGTGTATATAACCTGTAATCTGTGTGAACCAGAACCCTCACCTGCAGCAGATATCTGGGGTGGAAAGGTATACGTTAAAAAGCAGCTCTTTGTACCGTGGGGATTTGAACTCTGTGTTGAGACTCAGGATAAGTGGGAAAAGGAAGAGTAGATGCATTGGGTACGTAAGGTTATGAGTCTTGGTGATTCATCTGAGGCAGTTGCAGGGTCAAATGGAAAATCTTTGGCAAATCTCTTGCTGTCTGAAGTACAAGCAACTCCCCATGCTCCCTTCATCCTACTTTAAATAAAAAAGAAGAAGCAAAGTTCCTTCTTGGGTGCCTCAGATGAGTCTGTGGCTGGTAAATTGTACTTAGCACAGGAAAAGAGGATTCTCTGTTCTGTATCCAGGGTCAGGGTCTTGGACTTCTATAGAAAGAGTACAGAAGAGGTTACAAACCTGAAATG